CAGGATTGGCCGGACCCAGGTCTTGTATGTCTCTCTGTGGGCCGTGCGTACCCACTTGCAATGAGAGTGAACGAGACCACCCCTGGGTACAGCTGCCCTCTTTAGCCTGCCGCACTTCACAGCAAGGACCTGTTTGGGGTCTTCGTGTTCTCAGGTCCACCTGCTGCTGGGCTGCTTCACTCTGCCTTCTGTACAGATCCCTTTAATATGCATATTTTAATACTATTGGTTGGTGTTTTCTCCCCACCCATTTGCATTTCCGTGTTTGTGGGGAATAAAAACCAAACACCTTCCCTATTTTAAAAGAATAATTATTTTATTTTAATTTTATTTATTCATTCATTTATTTTCATTTGATCAGAGAGAGAAAGAGAGAGAGAGAGAGAGAAAGAGAATGAGTTAGTAAGCCACCAGGTCCAGGACTTGAATCATGGTCGGCCATGTGGGAGTGTCCAGCGCTTTAATCACCACGCCACCTGCTGGTCCCCATCCTTCCCTATTTTTATTGCATCTTCTTCATGGGTTTTGGTTTGCTACTTTTTGTTACTTTATTATCAAAATCGATGTTACTTTGAGAGGTTTGAAATAGGTAGCTTTAGGGAAAGGGAAAATACATTTAATAGTTTATGTATTGTAACAGTATATAATTTAGCAGTCCAAGTTTTATAGTCTTGTCTCTGGTGGCAGACCCTATAGCAAAAACTCAAAACAAAAATGCAGAACATCCCAAACGTGACTTTGGAAACTAGAGTAATTTGTATTTGTTATGCTGACAAGACCAGATATCCCTCTATGATACAAATAATGACAAAAATATTTATAATTTCTTTTGAATTAATACCTTAAGAGGATTTATACCCACTTTTAAAGTCATAGAGAAGGGGGACCAGCAGTTAGCGTAATGGCGATGTCGCTGAACTCCCGTGTAGTTGACTGGGGTTCGAGTCCTGGACCCGGTAGCTTAAAACTCACGCCAGGTGCATGTACGTGCATGCCCAAGATCCCGAGAAGAGAATGGAGGAGGGGGGATTGTGGCGTGGCCATCCCCCCTGGGGAGTGATTTCTCGCTTTCTGTCTCTGTCTTTCTGGCGAGAGCACGCACCTTATAGAAAAAAAAAAACTCTAAAAAAAAAAAGTCACAGAGAAGAAACAAAACCTTACCTTTTAGTTTGCTAAGACTCGACATATCTACTAGGCTGTAAGAGAAGGGCTTGCTGGTACTCAGAAAAGTACGCATGGGGATTCAGGGCGTGCAGTGAGAATGTTAGGATAAGTGAGGGAATAACAGCTAGGGCATCCTTTTTTTTATTTTTTTTCCTTTTGTCATTGCTTTGGCTAGAGGGGCAAATAATATGACACTTTTACCCCAGAGACTTTTTATTTTGCTTGTTATCTTGTATTTTGGGAATAAATGAAGGATACTAATGCTCTGTTCTATTTCCGGTAGGGAGTTTAACACCAGGTTTTATATAGTTAATGGTTAGATACCTATCTTAGCGTAGAGTCAGGCAGGTTGGAAGTTTGGAGAGTTCACGTTGAGGGACGGCATCAGGCTCTGAGGGTCCCCCGGCTTTCTCCCTCACCTTCAAAGCTGGCATGCTGCATCTCTGACCTTACTCTGAAGTCTATGAAGAAGAGTTCTCTGATTTCAGTGACCTCTGCGATTACATTGTGTCCACGCAGAGAGTCCAGTTCCCCGGTCCCGGTGTTCGTGATCGCACCTGCAAATTCTCGTTTGCCATGTAAGATAACATATTCCATTTTGGGAAATAGGATGTGGACATCTTGGGGGTCTGCCCACCATAATACCTTCTGGGTGAAGACTGATGAGTATTTGGCAAGGAGATGTAAGAGCTAATAACAGAAAAGAGGAACAAGGGTCTAGAAGCCATAAAGTGAATGCTTAATTGTTATGTATCTTAGCTATTTTTATATGATAGCCTAGATATATTATATTTCTGAACTGTCACCTTAGTTCCAGTTACAAAGAGAAAAATTTATTCAGTAATTTATTTATTTATTGAGAGTTATTTTATTTATCTATTTATTCGCTATAGGATGTGTGTGCTCACCAGAAAGACAGAGACAGAAAGCAAGAAATCACCCCACTTTGAATGCAGTGCCAATAGGATTTGCTGATGATTGGGCATGGGGGAAGAGGGAGAAGTCAGAGTTGACATTAAGATTTTTCGCCTGAGTGACAGAGGTGGTGTTAAATGGTGGTGTCCTTTGCTGAGATAAAAAACAATAGGAAAAGACTAGGTTTGCTGGGAGAAATTTCAGGGTTTGATTTTGGCTGGCTTCAGAGTTTGGAAGTAGTGTCAAATGGAAGGATGGTTAAATTTGTTTTTGATGACCTTAAGTACCTAATGAGTATAAAGAAGAGCTTTTAATAAAAAGTGGGACCAATCCCAGTCTGGTTCTAGAGCTAGTGAGATCCCAGTTATGGGGGTGGATTAACAGCCTATGGGTTGTGGTTGGGATCTAAATACTGTTTTTAAGTTTGTTTATTTTATTTGTGATAGCACATGTACATGCACAAGAGAAGAGAGAGACAGCAGTGTGTGCACCTTGACAGAGTTTCGTCGTATATAGTTTCTTTTCCCTGGCTCTCCACTTTGTCAGAATTCTGGGTATGCACACACATGCTCAGCATATTTTCAAACTGATCCAGGGATTTGAACCTGTGGTCAGCCACGTGGTTTCTAGCACTGCAGTTCAGTTTGCTACTGATGTTGCTACCAGGCCTGGCCATAGATAATAACTTACGGTCCTTTATAACTGCAGTCATTATTGTTTATGGAGTGCTTATTGGATGAGTAGTAAACAGGGAGCGGGGAGAGGGACATGCTTAAGAGATGGTGCCCTTGTGCCCAAGGACTTGTGTCTAGATGAGGGGACAAAACACTGCAAAATCCGACAACCTTAGTATAAACTGACGCAGTTTGTGGGCTTTTAGGGTCGCCATGTAATGAGTCTGGTGTGGTAGGTTGCAGAAGAATTGAATTGTAGAGAAAGTGAAGGACCCGCATTGCCATTAAACAGCTGTTCTAGGCTAATCGGGTCTGTGCAAAGTTGTAGAAATAAAAGACAGTGTTTTCCAGACTTGGATTTCACAGGCTAAAAAGTTACATTCGGAACTGGATGTGGGGAAAGGAGAATTGTCATGGGCAGGTAACTTTTAGTCTTCCAAGTGAAGACATTGAAAATAGGGAGTCATATTCATTTATTGTCACTATTTCATGAAAGGAAAGTTATTGTAATACTAGAATATTAAGGGCTCGACTCATAATGCAGTGGCTAAGCCCTGTGCATAGGGAGCCAGTCTCACATGGCTGTCTGGTTCGACTTCCGACCCTGTGGCTTGAAAAAGATACTGAGTGTATCTGTGTGCATGCCCGAAGTCCTGACAGGATGGAAAAGGGAGCATAAAGGATTGTGCGGTGGCTGTGCTCCACTGGGGAATGCCTCCTCTCTCTCTCTCTCTCTCTCTCTCTCTCTCTCTCTCAAATGCATGTACCCTCTGGCAATACAAATATCCAAACAAAACAAAACGTACAAATCCGAACCATTAGGAAGGACATACTTCCAGTATAAAAACACACAGTTGCTTACATAGCAAAGTTTTTAATGTAAGATAATCTGTCTGTTCTGCCTGTTTCTTATTTCATCATGGAGCACTGAAACCTTCATTCCGGCTGTGACTAGCATGAGGAGACTACGGCTGTGGGGGGATGGCAAGTCGGGAGACATGAGTAGGAGTAACAGTGAAGACTGCGCGTTGACATCTGGGGCAGTGTGGGTGTAGGGAGCAGGGAGGCACTCGGTGCCAGGTAGTGCCTCAGTGCTTGGGGAATTCATACATTTGAAATGGGCTAGCAGGTGGCGTGGTAATTAAGGTGCTGGACTCCCCACATGGCCCACCATGGTTCCAGTCCTGGACCTAGCAGCTTGAAAATCATGCCGGGTATGTGTTCTCCTGTGTTCAAAATCCCAGGAAGAGAATGGAGAAGAAGGGATTGTGGCGTGGCCATCCCCTAGAAGGTGATTTCTCACTTCTCCTCTCACTGTCTTTCTCTGTCACTCTGGTGAGCACACATGTGCCCTATGGCAAAAACCTTTAAAAAAATAAGAAATAAACTTGAAACAATGCAAGTAGAGGGAATTGTTTACAAGTCTTTGAAAATATTGTTTGAGGGAAACTTATTCTAGCAAACGTCTGACAGACAGTTAAATCAGAGGAAGATTTCTGAGGTAAGTAGTTTCTCTAGAAGGCTATTGAAGGAAATTAACCCCAGAACATTATAGAGCTCTGAGCTGTGGTTATGCTTGTGGGAAGAGATAGGATCTAAATGTTGTAGAGAAAACAATAAACGATTTTGATTACATGCAGGGGATAATAAAATGTGACTGGATATTATGAGTTTCAGTTACTGTGGAGGGTTAGGAACCCTAGGACAACAAATATGCCATCTAACGAGGTCCAGCATTCTAAGGGAGTTAAGTGTTAGGAAGAAACACGGAGGACACAGGGCTGAGTCCAGAAGGACAGACAGAATCAGTGAGGAACGAGGAGGAAACAGTAATGGACAGGCGCATAGCCAGGAGCCCTGCAGCCACGGGAAGAGGGGCCTTACTTGAGGTGATAATTATCGTGGCTGGTATAACAGAGAGAACAGATCTTGTATTTAGTTAGAAAGGCTCACTAATGACCTAAAGGAAGCTAAGTTACGATTTAGGTAATTGGATGAAGTTTTTATTATGTAACGAGCAGCTAGTTCATCTTCATTTTACAGATGAGAAAGCTTACCAGTTTGGTTATTGAATGCTGTCCTCTATTGAGAGAAAGAGGACTGTTTTCTGTTTGCTAGAAAGCAGATTAGTTTTGGATCAAAGTGAATATATAGCAAATAGTAAGATGTCTCAGTATAAAGTTTTTTTAAAAGTAGTTATTTTTCTACATTATTACTACTAGCCATAGAAAGTATACCTTGAATCTTCATATTTTGTAAAAAAATGAAATTATTGTTATGAATTGTTTTAAATAATTATAACATCTTAAGTGCTGATTATTTTAATTATTGTTGCTGATATCTTAAGGGAATTACAAATCTGGAGTTACTATGCTTCTATTTATTCATTTTTCAAAAATTTATATGCCAGAGGGCACTTGAGTTCTCCAGAGAGATGGAGAGACACAGAGAGAGGACATGAGAGGAAGCATCCCTTGATGGGATATGGTCGTGCTGCAATCCCTCCTGCTCCGTCTCCACCCTGTCAGGATATTTGAGCATACATGCACTTGTGCCTGGTATGTTCTCCAAGCCTTTGGAGCTAGGATTTGAACTGCAGTCAGTCTGACTTCTTTAACCATTAGGCCATTGGGCTGAGTTTATGTTTTTAAACTTTGAAAAATTTAAGTTTGTGTTTTTGTTTATAATGAGCACTATTTATAAAATCTTATTTTTTAGGAGCTCCAAATGGATCAGCAAGCAAAAAAACATCTGCAGGAGGAGTTTGATGCATCTTTAGAGGAGAAAGATCAGTATATCAGTGTTCTCCAAACTCAGGTAAGAGAGTAAAAGGAAAAGTATAGAATTTTTGGTTAAATAAAAGTAGAGAAGTTTTGTTGGGCTATCTAAGAGGTTCCAGATGCTTTTTTCAAAAAGCCCTATTTAGGGGTTGGCAGATGGCCTGGTGATTAAGGGTGCTTGACTCCCACATGGCCAACTGCAGTTCAATTCCCAGACCCAGCAGCTTGCTCTTTCACTTTCCCTCTCTCTCACTCTGTACCTCTCTGATCAAATAAAAATAAAAATAAGCAAATTAATAAATAAAGTTAAATGAGACAATTCTTTAAAAAAATAAAAAGCCCTATTTAAAAAGCTCTTCGCATTTAAGGATAATTTTTGATTTATTGTGTCTTTTGACTATGATTAACTGTGATATCATTGATAATAGCAAATATAAAAACCAGCCAGCTGTACTGGAAATTAAATTTTGATTTTGATTTTTTCCTCCACTATATTAAAAAAAAAATACCATTTACTCTTATCATCTCTCTGTTTCAAAGAAAGTATTACTGCCATGGTTTCTCTTGATATTTGCCTAATGAAGCACATTTTTAAAGGTTTCTCTGCTGAAACAACGATTACGAAATGGCCCAATGAATGTTGATGTACCAAAACCGCTTCCTACGGAACCACAGGCTGAAGCCCTCAGTAAAGAAGAGAATGTAGAGAGTGACGCAGAGCCAGTAGGTGAGCTTCATTTCGTCAGAAGGTTCATTTAAAAACTAGAGGTGGGGACTGGCCAGTGTTACGGTGGTTGAGATGCTGGACTCACATATCAGCAAACGTGGTTTGAGTCCTGGACCTGGTGGCTTGAAAATCATACCAGGCACATGTGTGTGCATGTCCAAAATCCTGAGGGGAAGACGGAGGAGAAGGGATTGTGGTGTGGCCATCCCTCTGGGGGACTGATGGCTCACTTTTCCTCTCTCTTTCTCTGGTGAGCACATTTACCCTATGGCATAACCCTAAGAAAAGCAAAAACAAACCACCAGAGGAGGAGGATGAGAAATTCCGGGGTGTGAGCTGATAGATGTGGGCTGAGATAGTAGTGTAATGTCCTTGGTCTGAGCACTCCCAGAAAGAGGCAAGCGTATTTGTTGTGTTTTTAGTTCTTCACTGTTACTCAGCAGAAAGTAAGTATAGGTTGAACATTCCTAAGCCAGAAATCTGAAATATGAAATGCTCCAAATCTGAAACTTTTTGTGCACTGAGCCGACACCACAGATGAAAACTTCACACCTCGGGGCTGGCAGGTGGCATGGTGGTTAATGGCACTGGACACTCCCACATGGCCAACCATGGCTTGAGCCCCGGACCTGGCGGCTTGCTTTATCCCCCCCCCCCCCATTCTGTCCCACTCTGGTCAAATTAAAATAAATGAATAAAGTTAAATAAAATAATTCTTTTTTTTTTTTCTTGAGAGGTTTTCGCTATAGGGCGCGTGTGCTCACCAGACAGACAGACAGAGACATAGAGACAGAAAGTGAGAAATCACCCGCCAGGGGGGATGGTCACGCTGCATTCCCTTCTCCTCCATTCTCCTTTTGGGATCTTGGGCACACACGCATTTGTGCCTGGCGTGAGTTCTAAGCCACTGGGTATGGGACGCGAACCGTGGTCGACTACGTGGGAGTTCAGCGAAATAGCCATTATGCTACCTGCTGGTTCCCATTAGTCAAATAATTCTTAAAATATTTTTTCCCCCACACATAACGTCATGTGACAAGTTGTAGTCAAAAATGGTACAATATGAAAATATTGTATAAAGGGCCAGCTGGTGACGGGGTGGTTAAGGTAGCTAGATCCCACATGGCCAACCGCTGGGCTCAAGTCCCTGACCCAGTGACTTGAAAAACATGTTGGACATACATGTGTGAGTGCCCAGAATTCTGCGAGAATGGAGGAGAAGGGGTTGCGGTGTACTGCAGTGACGTGTGGTCATGCCACAGTCCTCCTTTCTCCCAGGTTTCCCCCAGGGTTCTGCTTTCTCACTTTCTCTCTCTCTCTGTCTTGTGCATGTGCCCTGTAGCAAATTAAAACATATATGTATTGTATAAAGTTGCCTTCAGGCTATGTGTATAAGGTGCATGTGAAACATAAATGAATTGTAGATATTCCCAAGATACCCTGTTATGTATTATGTATGTATATTTCAACGTTTGAAAAAATCTGAATTCTGAAACACTTCTTTTCCCAAGCATTTCAAATAAGGGACTCTTGTCAACCTATAGTTGTTTTAAGATTTGAAAGTTTTGGGACCAGCAGGTGGAGTGGTGATTAAGGCTCTGGATTCCCACATGGTCAACAGTAGTATGAGTCCCAGACCTGGTGGCTTGAAAATCACAACAGATAGATAGATAAACAAACAAATATATGTTAAAAAAAAAGATTTGAAAGTTTCACAGGGTATAAGTATCACCACATTTTTGTTCTAATTTAAATTTCTTTTTATTTATTTAGTTATTTTTGAGAGGTTTTTGCCTTATGGTTCATATGCTTATTGGTGGGGGGGAGAGACAGACAGACAGAGACAGACAGACACAGTGAGAGGGAAAGTAAGAAATCACCCTCTGGGGGGATGGCCATGCCACAATCCCTTCTCCATTATCCTCCCAGGATCTTGTGCACGCATGCACACACTTCCAGTGTGAGTCTGAAGCCACCAGGTCTGGGACTCGAACCATGGTTGCTCATGTAGGAGTCCAACAATGCAACCATTATGTCATCTGCTGGTCCTCTAATTGAAATTTATTATATTGCACTGTTTATCGATTACATATAAACAGGTCAGTTCTGTTCAATATTAATAAATATGTCATTTGTAATTGGATCTTTAAGTTTTAAATAATATTGCTTACATATTTCTTTATTCAAAGATGCCTATATTTGCCTTATTATTTGCTATTTATTTATTTGGAGAGGTTTTTGCTATAGGGCATGTGCACTTGCCAGAAAGGGAGAGACAGAGAGACAGAAAGTGAGAAATCACCAGGGGGGATGGCCACGCCACAGTCCCTTCTCCTCCATTCTTCTCTCGGGATCTTGGGCACACATGAACACATGCTGCTCGGCGTGAGTTTAAGCCACCAGGTCCGGGACTCTAACCATGGTCGACTACATGGGAGTCCAGCGACATAGCCATTATGCCAACCGCTGATCCCTTTGCTTTTTAACTGGAAAAATAAGTGATAGTTAATTTTGTCTTAATCCAATCATAGCCCTCCTTGTTCTTTGAGTTTTGAAGTATATATTCAGTAAAATTCCCACTTAAAAATTCAGTTTTGTTCCTCTCTTTCATGAAAGAGAGAGGTACCACCAACAGTGTCTTCACCCTGTGATTCAGCCCCCTCAGGCAGGCTGGGTCACGGGCACGCGTGTGCAGACTTGCCTGGCGTGGACTGGGCAGCTCTGACCCACAAACGCAGGACCCTCCCACGTGGGCCTGGTGCCACAGAGCACCGCCTTACTGCTGTGTCGCTGACCAATCTCCACACAGCCGGCCACCTTTTTATATCCTAGCTTTTTCTCTCAAAGAGATTTAGGATAAACTTTCAGCCTAACCAGGGCAATAGGTTGGTGAGCAGCTAGCTATCTGGGCAGCAACGTATATATATGGGGGGGGTGGTCCCCCAATTCCCCTGGGATGTAAAGAGTTCACTCTAAAGTATCAAGAGATGGAGAAAGATATACTTATCTGAATCCCTCCCAGGAAGAGATTAGAATGTGGCTGAAAAACACTTTATTAATCTTTTGGGGATGCGAATGAAGCTGGGAGAAGTAATTTGAAATAAGAAAAGATGGTTATCAAGCTATCTTTAAGGAGGATGAATTCAGTTAATGTTCTTTAATTACTGTGCCATTTGGGGTGGGATTAGCAAGAGATGTACACTGCTCAGATTCCTCAGATAAAGATCAATCGCTAAGAGTAGAGGTTTGGGAACCAGAGGTGGTGCTGTGATAAAGTGCAGTGCTCTGCAAGGCAGTCCCACACGGGAGGGTTCCCAATTCAGGTCCGGAGACCTCCCTGAGTTCTCTGGGCATGCTTGCTCATGATCCAGGGCTAGCTTGAGGCTGGGGGTGGATTGCAGCCTTGAGACTGTGTTGGGAGCACTGCCTCTCCATCCTCCTTCTCCCTCTTTGTTATCCACTCATGGGGGAAATGAATGAAAAAACTTTTGGGGGAGAAAAGAAAAGGGGTTTGGAAGTGTGCCAGATTCTTAGCCCACCAGGGTTGCGTTCTCTGTGGATCTGACTCAGAGCACAGCAATCTGTTGGTATAACACACTCCCGTGTTAGTACAGGCTTGCTTTGCAAAGAACCCTCATTTTCCTTACTGACTGCCCCTTCTTTACGTTGCTTTGTGCTTAGTGGAAGATGCACCTTCAGCCAAAACACTGGAAGCACTTCAGCGAAGAGTTAAGCGTCAAGAGAATCTCCTTCAACGTTGTAAGCAAACAATTCAGTCTCATAAAGAACAGTGCGCACTATTGACCAGTGAAAAAGAAGCTCTCCAAGAACAGCTAGATGAAAGGCTGCAAGAACTAGAAAAGATGAAGGTAAAAGAGCTGATACTTCTTGTTCTAATTTCATTTTGTTATTGAAATGAACAGGCTCCTGCAGGGCCTGCAACTTCTCTGGAGACCCTTCCTCCAGCCTCCTTATTGGGTCACCTGAGTGCCCTGGGTTTCATAATACTTACAAAGCTTTTGAGACTTCTTGTGTACATTTCTCCTACTAGACCATAAGACGTATCTACATTAGCTAAAATGTTTAGAGTTCTCATTTGAAGAGAAGCTTTATTGGAGATGGAAATGAATTTCTAAAATTTTTTTAGGAGCTTCATATGGCTGAGAAGACTAAACTTATCACTCAGTTGCGTGATGCAAAGAACTTAATTGAACAACTTGAACAAGATAAGGTAAAAATCTCAAAACTTACGACGATACAATTTGTCAGGGGGCCCCAGAACTCACTTTTGGAAGCATTTGGAAGCACTCATCCTTGTGCTTTCCAAAATGATTATAGCTGCTTCCTTGAAAAAAAAAAACTTTCAATTTTTAGAATTATGTAACTTAGTTTTGTGTCGTGCAAAGCTAATGATCTGCCTATGATTTCTTGATCCTAGTCATCATTTTTACTCATAGATGAGAGTAACTTTTGTGAAGGAAATGTGCTTATAGTATCTAACTACGTTCCAGAGAGTTTATGCTAAATTGTTTGTAGTTAAGGCATTCTAAATATGCTGCTATCAGTATGTTCTTTCAGATAGTATGGGAATAGGTTAATCTCTTAGATGAATTTCCTAACGTGTAAAAAATGATAGTACGGGAACAGCAGGGGGTGTGGTGGTTAAGGTGCCAGACTCCCACATGGCTAACTGTGGTTTGAGTCCTGGACCTGGCAGCTTGAAAATCATGTGTATGTCCATGTACAGCATCCTGAGAGGGGAATGGAGGAGAAGGGATGGTGACTTGGCCATCTCGGGGTGATTTCTTACTTTTCCTCTCCGGTGAGCGCATGAGCCCTATGACAAAGAAAGAAAACCTTAAAAAAAAAAAAAAAAAGTGATAAGAATATATATACACATACATACATATATATATGCTAATAAACTTATAGAAATTTATATATGCTTTTTAGGATGCATAGGAGAGTTTGGAAGATTGAGGAAGGATAGGTTGAGTTGGATCAGAAACTGTAGCTGTGCAGCAAAGACAGTTGAATTCATGAGGAAACAGTTTTACCTAAGTCTTCCACCCCAAGTCCTGAGTCCTTTTCTGAGAGCTCCGAGTTTGTTCCATATCATCCACCATTTTCTTTACTATGTGGGTTTATACCTGCAGTATTTTAAAGGGTCATGTAATTAAGAACATACCAGAGCTCTCCTGCTACTGAGAATACTGGCCATTTATTTTTTCTTGCTATAGTATTATCTTACTAGATTCTACTTTATAAACTTCATGAGACCTAATTTAAAAAAATAGGCTTCAGCATGGTGGCTGAGGCGGTTGAGTCCCACATGGTTGACAGTGTGATGCAAGTCCCAGAACTGTTGGCTTGAAACACATTTTGTACAGGTGTGCCCCACATCCTGATCCTGAAAGGAGGGAGACATGGAAGAGAATGGATTGCAGTGTAATCATCCCCCATGGGGCTGCTTTCTCACTTGCCCTCTCTCTCTCTCTCTCTCTCTGATGAGTGCACACACCCTCTGGCAAAATTTTTTTAAAAATTATGTTTTGTTTTGTAAACCTTAAAGCATTTATGAAAGAATAACTATTAGTAAAATGAATTCCTATGAATCTGTCATCCAGCTTTGACAGTTGGTATTTCATGGCTAATCTCATCTCGTGTACATTTCTAACACCCATTGTCTACCTCAACCTGTGACCATTTTAGAGCAATTCTAAATGTTCCTATCATCTTAATATACCTTTGAAATAAAAGGAGTCTTTACTTTTATAAAAATATAATGACATGGACTGGCAGGTGGCATGGTGGTTAAGGTGTTGGACTCCTACATGGCTGACCATGGTTCCAATCCTAGACCTGGTAGCTTGCTTTCTCGCATTCTCTCTCTCTCTCTCTGGACAAATTAAAAATAATAATAATACTAAATAAAATAATTGAAAAAATATGACATTGTCATGATCAAATCTAAAAGCTTAATAATTCCTCAGTGTGACCTGTTATCTAGTCAGTTTTAAGATGTTCTCTATCATGTTATACTTTTTTGCCCTTTTATGAATCAGGATCTAAATAAAATTCATTCATTGGCATTGGTTCATATGACTCTTAAGTTTTCTGTTTATCTATAGGTTCTATTGTTTATATTAGGTCTCTGGAGAAATCATGAAGTATTTTTCTATGTTTTTCTGCGTACAAATGTATCGTGACTTTCCCTATGACCTGATAGTTTAAGTTTTGAAGAAACTGAAGGGCAATGATTTTGTTTAAAATGTTATATAATGGCACCAGCAGATGGTGCAGTGGTTACATTGCCGGACTCCTACATGGCCGACCACGCCCAGACTGGTGGCTTGAAAAGAACACCGGGCGCACATGCATGCATGCCTAAGATCCTGGGAAGAGAATGGAGGAGAAAGGATTGTGGTGTGGCTATCCCCACTTGGTGGTGATTTCTCACTTTCATTCTCACTGTGTCTGTCTGTCTCTCCTGGGAATGCACATGCCCTCAGGCAAAAACTTCTTAATTTTATTTTATATATA